TTTTTTTTTTTTTTTCATGGTTGGTCGAACAGTCCCGATGGAGAAGATTCGAGTTCGAATCGTAGAGTATGGTACGGAGGTTTAGTTTCACGGTGGTTTTGTTTTCGGATGGTCGATATTTATATATAATAGTGGTTGGTTGGTGACGGTTGGTGGTTGGCGAAGAAGGTGGTTGTCGAATGTGGCGTAAAGAAAAGAACACATAGAACAGACAAGAGAAAGAGTGCACAGCGTAAGTGGCATTCAAGTCAAGCGTTGGTGCGTTAGAATTTCCAAAGTTCTTGCTCTATACAAGGTGTCTCTTCATACGTAAGAGGTTGATGGGACGATGATGGGGGTTTGCTTGTGAATGCGCATTAAATCGCGCGGGTGTCCGTGCGTGTCTGTGTGTGTACGCGCGCGTGTCATATGTATCCGGACAGTCGTTCTTTCTTCTCATTCGAGACGATGTTATATCTGGGGAAAATGCTGGCGACGGAGAATAACCCTGGAATTATCTTTCGAGGCGAAGCGAGACGATACAGAGTCCACTGTATCTACAGGGTGTCCGAATCGAGAATGCACGAGAAAGTGTCTTCCTTGGGTAACGCGAGTACTCGTTTCTACGAAGCTTCTCACGTATTAAGAAATACCTTGTATATCATCGATTCTCTTTTTCCCCCTATACAGGTTGGGTCAAAAATTAAACGACGTCGGTTAAAAAAGAAAAGCTGATGGTTATTTGAGAATAATCCGAGTCCGTTTCAATGGATCCGTCTTTTTTGACTCACCCCGTATATCAAAGAATAATTCGCAATTGCGCGTTAATAGCTCGTGGAGTAAATCTACGATGTAAAAGGATAAAGAAACGTTATATAAACGCAAGTCTTCTTACTGAACGAGGAAAATAAATAAATAAATTGTATTTAAAGGCCGTACATTCACGAGACTAGCTTTCTTTCACTTTTCCCCTAGATTTCTCCCTAGAGCTATCGACGCGTAATTGCGAATCACCCTGTGTGTTGTGTCGCCCTCCATCGAGGACATCCTGAACTAAATTCGATTACCTCCACTCCCATAGAAAAAAAAAAAAAAAATAAAAAATAGAAAACGAAATCTGGAATTGCAAATTGAAATTGCACGAGTGGCAAATATTTTGCGGATTACACGGATCGAGGTGTTTAAAGGGTAACGAATCTTCGTAGATACTTGGACGATTTGACAAGCGAAATTTCGGAAACGAGATCGTAGATATTTCCGTGGTGCTAATTTAATCGGAGGTCCTCGATTCGGGCTCGATGGAGAGAAAATTGGCGATCGATCGTTTGGTTAATATCGAATGGTGGATACTGAAAGCGTAAGAAGGTAATTCGTTAGTGGGAAACGTGGGCGATCTGCGTTTTGTGGAATCGTCCGTTGAATTAATGCATCCTGAAAGATTTAATACACATTAGACATTGAACGTCGATCGAAACTTGATTATTTTCGACTATTCGCTCGACGAAAATTCATTGTTCGCTTTAATCTCATTTATCTCGCGTATCAGATCGACGATCCCATTTTCGCACGAAAATAAATATCTTGCACACTTTTACGATCCTATAGATCGCAGATGTAAACCCGTATTATAAATCGCGATCAATAAATCGAATAAAAAATAATTAATTAAAACACGATTAATATTAATTTCACGATTCCCCTAATCGATTACGCGTATTTTAAAAAGATAAAATATAGGGAAAAAGA